TAATATTCTTAAGGATAACCCGGTTAGTTAACTGATAATAATGTCCGAACCAGTTCCGCAGAGGAAACTGGGGGTGGACGATTTATGTAACGGGAAGTTCCCAAAACCACAGCAATGTAATGAATAAGGACTCCCATTCAAGTTCTCACTGTGTCTGTGCACTCAACACTCTCTCTGTTAGAGTCTGGACGTAAAGTTCCTGATTGGTCAAACCTTCTTACAGTTAGGACCACAGTCAAAATCCCCTCTCGATTCTCCCAATGAACGAGAGGTCCACAAATCAAGCGATCAAACCTTCCTACAGTTAGGATCGTCTTAAACCTTCCATTCGGTCAAACCTTTCTACAGTTAGGACCAAAACCAAAAACCCCTCTCGATTCCTCCAATGAACGAGAGGTCCACTTTCAAATCGAGTGATCAAACCTTCCTACAGTTAGGGTCACCTCAAACCTCCCACTTGGTCAAACCTTCCTACAGTTAGGACCAAAACCACGATTCATTCTCGATAAACGAGAAATTCATCTTTAGTTCGATAATCAAACCTTCCGACAGTTAGGGTTATCCGAATCTTTTTGATTCTCGGAGTGGAGATCCCACTCTTAGTTTCACCTTTCCGGATTCTGGGGGTGGAGATCCCACCTCGAGTCTCCTTTCCTTCTTTGTTCGGGGAATAGAATATAAAATTCTTCCTTCCCCATACCAATCCTTTTCGAAGAATTCAGGATTCATCCTAGGAAGTTTATCCCGAATCCTAAGCAGGGATAAGTCTGCGCCTAACACGCGCTGCCGGTTTAGTCTTTTTTCTGCACAAAAAGACACCAGAGTTCGATTCTGGGGTATTCTATCCTGAAACCTAAGCAAGGATAAGTCTGCGCCTGACACGCGCTGCCGGTCAGTTCTTAACCGTTTAAAAAGAACACCCGTTCACATATTCAACATTGTGACAGGTTGTTATTAATAACACCAAAATCCATGCCTTACACGCATGGGGAATTTCATCCTGAATCCTAAGAAAGGATATGCCGACGCCTAACACGCGTCGCCGGTTTAGTCTTTCCCCGTAGAAAAAGACACCAGAGTTCGATTCTGGGGTATTTTATCCCGAAGCCTAAGGAGGGATAAGTCAACGTTTAATACACGTTGCTGGGTAGCCTATTCCCATGACAACGGCGAAGTCTATGTATTCAAAGTCATAGCAACAAGTCTTAGAGGATTCAGTCTCTAAGCACAACGTTACATGCGGAACGGATTTAGACAATTCGCATGCTAGCCCGACTCAAACGGTAGTCGGTAAAGGTTAATCAAATCCGTTAAAGGCTTGGGGTTAGCCAAAAATCCTAAAGTCAGCGCCTAACACGCGTCGCCGGGTAGTCTATTCCCGTGAGAAAGACGAAGTCTACGTATTCGAAGTCGTAGCATCAAGTCTAAGGGAGTTCATTCCTTTAGCACAACGTCACATGCGGAACGGACTTAAGACAATCCGCATGTAAGCCCGATTCAAACGGTAATCGGTAAAAGCATGACAAATCCGTTGAGGGCTGAGGATTTGCCAAAAATCCTAAGTCAACGTCTGATACACGTTGCTGTTTAGTCTTTTCACAGGAGAAAGACGAAGTCTACGTATTCAATATCGTAGCACTAAAAGAGTTAACTCTTTTAGCATAACGTCACATGCGGAACGGACTTAAAACAATCCGCATGCTAGCCCGACTCAAACGGTAGTCGGTAAAGGCGCATCAAACCCGTTGATGGCTGAGGATTTGCCAAAAATCCTATAAATATGCGAGTCATTGACGCATCAACTTTATGAGTTGGTCTCGTGACTCGAGCATCCAACGACCTTGGGATAAGATCCATGCTCCAATTCCTTAAGAGCTTAAACCGTGTGTACTCCAGCAGACGTACGAGTATAAACTGTGTCAAATGCCGAACAGTGCATCATAATGAAGCCTGGACGCCGGACAACGCGTCGCAATGAAGCTCAAACGCCAGACAACGCGTTATAGATGAAGATTCAACGCAGTCAATCGATGATAAGTTCTGTGTTGAAGCAGCAAACTCGAGCCAAAAAGTCAAGAAATCAAGAATCGACTTCAAGTTCAAATTCCAACAACGGTCAGACAATAAATGCAGCACCGGAACCCCTACAGGCATTCTACAAAGCACTGAATAGCCTGAAGGAATTGAAGGAATCCAGAACAGAAGTCATTCCAGAGTCCCGTTACACCGACTGAAGGTTGGGACAATCACATCCAAAGTATTCCAGACTCTTCTATAAAAGAATGAGACTGAAATACTTTGGAGGGGGTATCTGTAGGCGTATAAAATTGCCTATAGGTCCCTTAGCACAGCTCGACGCCGATTTAACAAACGGACCACCGGGCGACGTATCCAAACAAGACCGTTAGCTCGCCAACGCTGAAGCCAAGCTATACGCAACGGAGCAGGTTAACGAGGCGACAAATCGCACCCAAGCATTGGAATGCATCCACTCGCACGCGGAATCAAACCAATGTTTAGGTGAATCACCGAGTCATCTAAACAAGAGCGAACTCGGATGAATCACGATCAAATCAACATCAATTCCGGACTCAAATTCAGAAGTTGGTTTACTGCCATATCAGGAACCCGACTCACTGCCATATCTGGAATCAAGTCAACAAGTCGTTGCCAAGTCAATCAACCACACAAGAGAACCAGAACCGGAAACAAAGGACGAAACGGACAAACACCCGGGGACTCGGCCGAAACCGAACCACCCCAGGGTGGCTCGGCCCAAGCCGAGCCACCCTGAGGTGGCTCGGTGGCCGAGCCACCCCAGGGTGGCTCGGCCAAGGCCGAGCCACCCTGAGGTGGCTCGGCCAAAGCCGAGCCACCCCAGGGTGGCTCGGCCAAGGCCGAGCCACCCTGAGGTGGCTCGGCCAAGGCCGAGCCACCCATGGGTGGCTAGGCTCAGAACTGTGCAAATGCACAGTTCTGAGTGCCTATAAATAGGCCTTGTGCTCATTTGTTTCAGAGGTTGGAAATTTTGGAGAGAGGCGAAGCCCTGCTGGATTGAAGACTCAGATCTAAAAAAGATCACAACTTTGAAGGCTTGGAGACTTGGACTTTCAGATCCGGTGCTCGGCGATCACCAACGCCAAATAAGGCAGGAGTTCGAGAGGATTGGATTTGAGATCTACACGATCACACTCCGGATCTAAGCTTGGTTCTTAGATCCCGAGATTCGAGCGGTTGTTTCCTTGGTGAAACAATCCCTCCCGGCTATTATTCCCTTGGTGGAATATTACCCGTCATATCGTGTAGATCCGACCGGATCGAGATCACGCGGTGGTCCACGGCAAATAACCCCGGCGCAGGCAAAGAACCCACCAAAGCGAGCGACCGCAAAACAGGAGCTCGCGATTAGTTCGACAAATAAGGAAAATTGTAATCTTTACTTTGTTTTCTTTGATTTTTCATTGTAACCGGATCTTATAAAAAGACCGGATCTTTGTAACGCATAAAGTTGTTAACTGAGATAGCAATGATATCAACAATGAAGAAAGCTACATTTTTTCCCGCGAACAGCCCAGAAACGAAGTTCGTCATTGAAGATGAAGTTTGTCCAGAAACGAAGTTCTTCATTGAAAACGAAGTTTGCCCAGAAACGAAGTTTGTCATTGAAGATGAAGTTCGTCGAGAAACCAAGTTCGTCATCGAAGATGAAGTTAGCCCAGAAACAAAGTTCGTTATTGAAGACGAAGTTCGCCCAGAAACGAAGTTCGTCATTAAAGATGAAGTTCGTCGTTGCCATTATTGACGAACCTCGTGCATAACCATTATTGACGAACCTCGTTTGTCATCATTTTCAGAGGCTACATTTTAAGGAGGGTTAATGACCAATAACTCACTCATTTAAGGAGAGTTAATAACCATTAACTTACTCATTTAAATGAGAATTAATGACCACTAATTCCCTCATTTTAAGAGGAGTTAAAGCCCATTAACTCACTCTATAATGCTTCTAAGCCCATAAATAGGCATGATCAACATGAAAGAAATGGAGGGGAGATTGAGACGCTAGTCAAAAAGCATATCTCTCCTCTAATCTCAAGGATCTTCATATATCATCGACTAATCATTTGACTTTGGAGCGTTGAAGCTCATAACAAGCATGACGAGGGTCATTATAATAACAGACCTCGTCTCAAACAACAAATTAAGTTTATCCTTGGAAACAAGATTTGAAGTGCGCCAATAAAGACAAAGCTCATCAGTGAAGACAAAGCTCGTCAGACGAAGTCAGTGAAGATAAAGTCTGTCAGAAGAAGCTCGCTATACTGCAAAGCCTGCCTTGCCAGACGAACCTCGCTGCGTATTGAGGCTCGATCCAGCTGTAACGGCTCCGAAGACTTAGTCAGCCACGTGGGCTAAATTTTAGAAGCACGTTACGTTCCATTAACCAACATGGACTGAATTACAGAAGGCAGTTATGCCCTCTACTCATAATTTTAGCATGTCGGTTACGTGCTGAAACTCTATAAATAGCCGCAAGCAGCTATAAAGAGGAGACTTTTGGACTTTTGAAGGATTTTTAGCTATCACGTGAAGAGAGATCAGTGTCTGCGTTCTCGTGATTTAAACCACCGTCAGAAGCTTTTGTGATCTTGATTTGATCGTCAACGGGAAGCAATCTCGGCTTGAACATCGAGAGAAGCGTCATTTCGCCATCAAGAACTCACTTTTAAACAAAGAGAATTCAAATTAATATTCTCTTCCTCTATAATCGAGAGTGAGTGATTGTAAAAGGTTCTTACTAAGTGATAGAACCATTTCTTAAAACAAGGAATTCAATCATCAACTTTTCGACCCTACAATATAATGCCATGCACCAGCATGTTATATATGCAGCTGGCTCATTAAACCGAAGTAATCAATATATACGGAAACTCTCCCTTGGGAAAAATCAATAACGGACTTAAAGTTTGAGCAGCAAAACGTAGATTAATTAACATCACCTTGTCATTATCTATATCTTCCGTCTGCAAGAAAGTATCCCAGTCCCAATTCACATCAAATTCAAACTCCACATTTCGTCCGTCTCCTCCGCCTTCCTCCTCCGTTCTCACCACCGCCAACTCCTCAGCCTCCTCCCACTCCTCTTCCACATACGGAGCTCCATACTGCTCCCCGTTCTTGGCGCCGAGGCCGCTTTTCTGAAAAACTCGGCACACAACAAATCCATCCTTCCCCACACAAAAAAAAAAAGGAAAAAGAAAAGAAAAGAAAAATCAAGGTCTACCATCAACACAAATATAAACAAGGGTTAAATATTGCATAAGCAATGGCATATGGGGTTAGACATTTATTTGCTTCCAATCCTCTATATCCCAAGTTACGTAAAAATCCTATATATACATCTATCATGCAGACCAACGACGTATCTCATATGGTTCATGCAAATAATAAATTTCAGGGGGGCAAAGAGGACGAAGTTATATTATCGGTTCACATAACTGGTTGCAGGATTTCTCTACAATCAAGAATGCAGAGGATTAAGTACTGATAACCCCATCTACAATTAACTCATGAATTTTTTATGAGCACTTAGATCCTTTAATACCCAAACATAGATTTTCTCATACATATTTCTTCAGTATGTTGCCGATAGATCTGAAACACAGCAAATATAACTAAGAGTATATAAATAAAAAGTTTAGTGCTAGTGATAAGCAAGTTAACCCTACATGTTATACATGACGTACATCTACAATTAAACCTAAATAATACAAATAAATCCAGATTAAGTTTTCTCGAATTCAACCTTACCCAATTCACTCCGATTCGCGCGAGCTCCTCATGGGCCAACTTATACTCGTGCATGACCCAGTCCGTCCTCGTCTGCTCCTTCGAGCTAGTCCGGCCCAGATGGAACACCAGCGTCTTCTTGAAACCAATGACGAACCCCCCACCGTTTCCACTCCTCCGAATCTCCTTATCTCTCCCCGTTATCTTCCAAAATCCACGCGGAGAGGCTCTGTTGGTCCTCGTTAGCGTACTGCACTGTTTTCGGTCCAGCGGAGTGAAGAAGTACCACTCGATGTCCCTTGTTCGTAGACGAGAGAAGCTCGGGAGGTCCCATGGCTCGAAGCTGTAGATGTTGAGCTCTGCGATTACGTCGAAGGGGAATGGACGGCGGGTGATTTTGTTCCTGAGGTAGTATAGGAGAAGTTCTTCATCCGTAGGATGGAACCTGAACCCGGGGGCGATGAGAGGGAGGGGAGGGGGAGCAGAGGAGGAGGAGGTTTGGTTAGGGTTAGGGTTAGGGTTAGGGTTAGGGTTAGGGTTTGTTGTTGGGAATGAGAGTGCCACTGTAGAGATAAATAGAGAGACGAGTTAGTTATAGTTACTACCAATAATACACTCGCAACTAACTAAGTGCAGTGATAGACAACAATGACTGCACTAATAAAAAAACATTCGAGATCAATATAGTCTGTATAGTTAATGTTGTTAAAAAATTAAAACAATTATTATAAAACTGAAACTAAAAGAGTTAGAATACCATGGCTGAACGGGTGCAGTCGTGATTCACTGCTCTAGCTAGAAGATAGAGGACCCGCCTTTCGTCCTGGCGCAGTCGATCCTCACCCTCTAGCGGTAAAAACCCCGGAAACGGCCAACCTCTGTACTCGGACGCGAGTAGCAGAGCTTCTGCTCAGACGAAGATGGTTGCCCGAAATATAAGTAAATAGTAACTGAGAAAATTTTTGAGGAAAAACGTAGCTCTCAGAATTTTGAGGGAAAGATAGGATTGGATGTTTCTTTTTCTCACTTCTTCTTGTTGCTATGTTTCTTCCGAATGAGCTTCAGCACTTTATATAGCCCTTGCTCTTCTTAACTGTCGCTGGTAGTTCGCAGACGTTACACAGAAATCCCGTGTCCGTTATACGTTTCCATAACTTACAAACTTGTGTAAAACGTGCAAAAAAAATAAAACTTGTGAGGCAAAAAACTCATGCAAGTGCGGCGTGGCGCGCGCGTCGTGGCGAGGCGTGGCGTGCGTGCACGCACGCGTGTGTGGAGCAACAGTCCAAACAACACTCACTACTAGAAAATGGGTTATTGGCTACGGACATTTAGCGACGGAATATTCTGTCGCTATAACATGACTTATAGCGAACGGCATGTGGTACTATTTTCCGTCGCCAACATGCACTAGTACAACTTTTGGCGACGGGTTTTCCGTCGCCAAAAAATACAGCGACGGATTTTTCGTCGCCAAAAAAAGTAGAATTTGGCGACGGATTTTCCGTCGCCAATAATAAATAGCGACGATTAAATATATAGCGACGGAAAATTCCGTCGTCAAAAAAATCTACATAAACGACGGATTTTCCGTTGCTATATACCCGTCGCTGATATTTAGCGACGGATTGGTCGTCGCTAAATATTGATTTAGCTACCCTGAATATAGTGACGGTGTTTTAGCGACGGAATTTCTATTTTTCCGTCGCTAAAACATTTAGCGACGGAATTTCGACTTTTGGCGACGGATTTGTCCGTCGCCAATAGTCCCATTTGTAGTAGTGACTAGGCCCAAAACACTAACGCAAAGCCCATTGAGATGTGAATCATTATAAACTTCTTGAACTTCTTCTCATTTTTGTATGTGAGACTATTCACAAAGGCAAAATTGCCTTTTCATGAACCAAAAGTCCAACAGTTAACACTAACAATTGCATTGATATATAATAATAACTGCACTGATAGAAAATTATAACTCTTGGATCAAGATTCGTGATATATTAGATGTCATCACCTCCTTCCACCTATATTTAACAAAAAAATAAAAAGGCAAAGAAAGGGGAAAAAGTTTTTCTATATGGTGTTCTACATAAAAGAGGGACACTTCAATGGAGAAAGAGGCTTAAGGCAAGGGGACCCCTCTCCCCCTATCTCTTCATTATTGGTCTAGAATATTTGTCCAGGAGTATTGAACTTCTAAGGAATGATAAATAGTTTAAATACCACCCAAAGTGTAGAAAGTTCATAATCTCACACTTAGTCTTTGCTGATGACCTCCTCCTTTTCAGCAAGGGTGACTTATATTCTGTACAAAGAATCTACAAATGTGTTAAAGACTTTGGTGATATATCTGGATTGGAAGCTAATCTTTCAAAGTGTTCAATCTTCTACGGTGGGGTTCAAGAATCAGTTAAGAATGCTATTTCAAGAAGCTTGTGTTTGCGTCAAAAGTTGGTTTTGTCATGGAATTCATTATATCTTCGGTCGATTACAATAAATTCAAAAGAAATAGCCTTTTTATAAGACTCCTTTTACACAACAAAATAAAAATTACAACTCTTGAGAAACAAACACAGGATCGTTGTTTGGATCGCTGCTTGCGTGGGATCTTTGCCTGTGCCGGGAGCGCTTTGACTCGTGGACCACCAAATCACAGATTCTGATTGAATCGTGAGGGGTTTAATGATTCTTCCTTCGTTTATCGAAGTGAGAATTTGAAACGATATCTTATCAAAGTAAGATAGTCGTTCTTCTTAAAATCAAGTCAAAGCTCGAATATCAAGGAATAGCCGGAAGCTCAAGAACTCTGCTCTGTCTGCTCTGAAGTGCTCAAAATGATCAGCCCCCTCAAAAAATGGCCTTCGGGGGGTATTTATAACCTCTAGGAACAGTTGGCGGAAAACAAGCTCGCGAGACAGCATTTGCTGTCTCGCTGCCGAGACAGTGTTTGCGTCTCGGCGGGCGAGACAGTGTTTTGCTGTCTCGGCCCGCGGGACAGTAAATACTGTCAGCGGAAGAAGGAATATTCCCTGGTAGTTCTTTGCGTTGTAACTGCCTATCCTACGTTTTAAACTTCCTGTTATATTTGGCAGTTATCAACGTGAATTCTCGCCAGAGTTTCGCCAGCGTTCTTGAAGCATTAGTGCAACCACGTGTTGGCGGTTATGCAAAGTAGTTTTTGGACGGCGTCTGAGAGCTGTCTCATGTGCGAGACAAGTAAATCTGTTCTCGCACCCGGCGAGACAGTAAAGACTGTCTCGCAGTGGGCCGAGACAGTGAAGACTGTCCTCGGCGTGGGCGAGATAGTAACAAGTCTGTCTCGCCCTGGCGAGACAGTAAAGACTGTCTCGCCATCGGCGAACAGTCCCAAGTCTGTCTCGCGTGCGAGAACCAGTAACAGACTGTCTCGGCACTGGCGAGACAAGTCAAGTCTGTCTCGCGTGCGAGAAGCAGTAAAGACTGTCTCGCATGCGAGACAGTCTATCTTGTGTTCTTTTTTTGACCATTTTGGATGACTTCGCTTTTGCAGCTGTGTTTGGATTCCTTTCAGCGCAATTTTTTGACAGGCCATACAGATACCCCTCCAAAGTATTCAGACTCAATCTTTTATAGAGGAGTTCTGGATGCTTTGGATAAGATAGGTCATTACTTATGAATGGCTTCAACACTTGATCTCTTTGTCTCTCAGTCTATTCAGTGCTTTGTAGAATAGCTAAGATTCTTTCGGCATGGCGTTCATCGCTTGACCGTTGTCGGGATCTTGAATTGAAGCTGGAATTTGTACTTGTGAATTTAGCTTTTGTCATCAAATTGATACCGCATTGTTAATCACTGTATCAGTCTTCATAGGAACACAGTTTATACTCATGTATTTTTGGAGTTCTCGGGAAATAGTTTAACCTCGTATACCCGTTGGGAGGTAGCCATGTTATTCTTAAGAATATTTTGAGTGATATTCTCCAGAAACTTCCTGTTGAGGGTAGGGAAACAGTTTAGACTCGTGTACCTATTGGAGTATTTTGGTCTCTTTTTTGTTGGTAGAAGTGAACCCGATGATGGAGAGGAAGAATTTTATATTCTACCTCCTGGTCTCTTGTTTGTTGGTAGAGATGAACCCAAAATCGGAGAGGAAGAATTTTATATTCTATCTCCTGGTGCGAAGGAAAACTCCAAGTGGGATCTCTGAATCGGAGAGGGAGAATTTTATATTCTATCTCCTGATGAAAAGGAAACTCACAGTGGAATCTCCACTTAGAGAAAATAGGTTGGTTTGAATAACCCTAACTGTCATAAGGTTTGATTACTCAATTCAAAAGTAAACCTTTCGTTCGCAAAAATGAATCGAAAAAGGAAACTCGAAGTGGGATCTCCACTTAGAGAATCTGGATTGGTTTGAATAATCTTAAATGTCACAAGGTTTGATTATTCAACTAAAAGTGGACCTCTCGTTCATGGAAGGAATCGAGAGGGGATTTTGGTTGTGGTCCTAACTGAGTAAGGTTTTGACCAAGTGGGAGTTTTGAGACGATCCTAACTGTTTAAAGGTTTGATCGTTCAATTTGTGGACCTCTCGTTCATTGAAGGAATCGAGAGGGGATTTTGGCTTTGGACCTAACCGTTTAAAAGTTTGACTAAATGGGAGTTTGAGAGGGAAGACTGATCCAACAAATTGATCGAATCTCATCTCAACCTAGGAGTATTCAGAAATCACCGTGGGGATGTAGTGTTTATCACTTTGTTTATAATGATCGGGTTATCCTTAAGAATATTACATTTAACATTCTTCCGGGAACTTCCCGTTACATGAATTATCCACCCCCAGCTTTCTTTGCAAAACTGGGTGTAACGAGGAGTACGTTATCCTCAGTCGCATATTCGGGTTATCCTTAAGAATATAAGATTCTCTAGGAACTTCCCATTACATAAATCATCCATCCCAGCTTCCTTTGTGAAACTGGGTTTACCATTGTATTCAGTTGGATGACCGAGAAGCAGTTTATACTTGTATACTCTTTGGAGTGAGAGGGAGAAGCAGTTTATACTCGTATACTCATCGGAGTCAAGGAAAACAGTTTATACTCGTGTATCCAATGGAGTATTCTCATCTTTAATCGGCTTGTTTCGCCATTATGACGCCGGTGTCAATTAGGGCTTGGATTTTGTTTTTGAGTCCAAAGCAAATATTAGTGGGATGAAGAACCCTTCTGTGGTATGCACAGTAGTTTGGATCTGTAATCATCTTAGCACCCTCCTGTGTGGTATGCACAGTAGTTTGGATCTGTAATCATCTTAGCACCCTCCTGATCTTTAATAGGCGGTAGTTCAATTTTATCATTGGCAAGGAGGTATTCCAATATGGCTGGAGCTTCATCATCTTCAAAAGAATACTCCTTTTGGAACCTCGGATCGATTGCGGATGTCATCGGTTGACTTCTCTCAACTTTCTTCTTTTTAAGAAAGTGTTCAGCTTGTTCACCACGTAGTTTTAACTCTTT